AGTTCAAGTTCATTACTTTGACTTAACATAGCAGTGGGAAGCAACAAGACCTTAGCAGGTTAGCATACTGCGCTTCCTGTTAAGTGGATCATGATATTGGAAGGCTTCTGGAGGGAGAATGAAGCCTAGGGGGGCTGAATCCCGTTCTTTAATTCTACGGCTACTTGCATGTTCAAGATTGGAAACAAAAATTTAACCCAATAACATTTTTGTAATCACATTCTGTGAAAGGTGGCAGGTCTGAGAAGATGCCCACTCTTTCTTTGAGGGCATGTGAATCCCGATACCCTGCCAAGCCTGGACAGGCCTCTCTTATTAGACCAATTCTTTTAGGCAGGAGAGATTTCAGATGCCTGGAGGGTTGTATGTGAGAGACCTCTGTCCACTGAGAACTGACCACCAAAGGAGAATTACTGAGATCCAGATTGCAGGCCAATGGAAATTTGGGGAACAAATAAATGACTTTTGGGCAATGGTCTTTTGCATCAGAGCCCTTGAAGACCATCTCTCCCAATCTCCTACTAAATTCCTTCCTACATGCCCAGATAGGAAAATGTATTCTACTCTCACACTTTGAAAAGAGGTATAAACCTATGCCAGAACTTACGTTGGAGTCTCTGATGCAGAAAGGGGGGTACAATGTGGAGGTTAATATCAAGGTTTCAAGCTAAGACCCCGTGCTGGCACATACTAGGTGCATGACCTTGATCTAGTTGCTTTTAACCTCTTTTTGCCTAAGTTTTCTTATGCATAAATATGGAAGGGGAGAACCTGTTCATAGTTTTGAGATAAAATCAAACATAATAAACATAAAGCCCTGAGCTCAGTGTCTGGCATAAAGCAGATGTTAAGTAAATATTTCCTTACTTTTATTATTATTCTTTTAAAGGATTCAGAAAGCCCTCTCGAGATTGAACTGAGACACAACAACTAGATCAGAGAGAGCAATGTAGATTTCACTCTGCCGTTAGGTACCAGGCAGCCATGGCATCCTCCTGCCAGGGAGGGCTGGGATCAGGGGAAAGAGGGTTCCAGACAGGACTCATCCGTTACCTGGCCTCCTGAGAGGCAACAAAAGCACAGGCAGACAGCTGGGTTTGGAATCCCAGCTTGGCTCACTGCGTGAGCTTCTGCAAGCTACTGAACCTCTCTGTGCCTCAGTTTTCTCATCTGTAAAATGGGCTGCTGGAAGACTTAAGTGAACTAGTGTGTGGAGATGTATTTAAACAATGCCCAGCACATTGTGAATGCTTAGTAAAATGTTAGATAGTTTGATTATGCAACTTCCCAGACCTTGCCTTGCCCTAGGAATGGTTTTCCTATAAGGGACTTAGTGAAAAACCTCTCTCTGAGATTCTATTTGTCTCAGTTCTCCTGAGATGGATGGAGTGAGGGGTTGGGACATGGGGGGCTAGTATTCTGGGACCAGGGTTGATAGCTTGTGGGGTGTTCCCAGTTCTGTTTGTTTAACTATGAACTGCTGAAGGGAGCTTTTCCTAACACTAAATCTATATACAACCTGGAACTGTTGATAGAACTGGTGTCAAGCTGTGTATTAGCAGGTATGGAAGGTCTGTAGAAAATGTGCTATGTACACACACACTCAGGAGTCAGGGCTGAGAAAGCCCGGTGAGAGATACAGAGAGATGAGGGGGCCGCCCTGATTATTTTTCCAACTGTGGGCCTGCAGGAATCTCCCTTTGCTCAGTGATAGTTAAAAAGAGGGGGAATCATATTTTGACCAATAAAAAAACCCCTGATGTTCTAAATGTCCTCTACTAAATAGTTAGGAGCAAATCCTCCTGTGAACTACACCTCTCCTTCCAGGAGCAGAAAGTCGCTGCCAAGCCACCTGCACTTCCGCGCTGCAGTTGGCTCCACCCGTAGGATCCTGAGCACTCCTCCCCCGGCGCTTCCCCTCTGGCCACGCACTGAGTCATGAACGCGCTGCCCGGTTAGCCAGCACCAGGATATGGTTCTGAAGCATTGTTTCTGCTTGTCAGCTTCGGGTTTGGTGTTCTCAGCCAAGGGCACCATCTGTGAGCATTCCTTGATGACTTTGACCAGAGTTCCATGTGGATCCTTGAAATGCTTCTTCATTCCCGTCACCCTGGGAGGTTTGGGAGAGGTGGGTAGTCCCTCCCCCAACCTGGAAGGCGAACTGTTCAAAGACAGCTCCATTTTTCTGGCACTGAGAAGCAGGTGTTTTGCCGTGTCCTATGGCCCACTCCCCTATCAGGCTCCCAGTGGAGAGGCAGCAGCGCCCATTATACCACGGTCAGGAGCTTGAGTGACCCAGCCTGGTGGGCATATTTTAGTTAAGGTCTCGTGAAGTTTTCATGAAATAATGATCCACACCCTTGAGCTGCTAAGCCTTTATGAACTGCTACACCTTGACATGGGTGATGGAGAGTTGAGGTAATTAATGTTCACTGCTAATGGACTGACACTCCAGAGGAAGGAAAACCTGGGGAAAGAGAACCACAGTATTGGGACATCTTAGAGGCCAGAGGTTCTTGACCTTTTAATTTTTTTATTAGCCCCCACGAACCTTTTAAGACATTTGTTTCTCTAGTTGCCCCATCCGCATGAAATTGTAACAGCAAAGATATACTACACATCTGTGTCTGTACTGTGGCCCAGGAGGGCCACAAGCCATTGTAATATCTAAGATTTTTTTTTCATCCCCCATGAGTCACTTTTCACTTTATTGAGAGTGATGCCATCTCTATTGAGACTGCATATTTTAATCTGAGACTCTTTGGCTGTCCAGCCCCAGCTATAATAGCAGGGGTGATTTGGGGTGAGCAGGAATAGAAGAAGACCAAATATGAAAGGATCGACTCCATAAAAGAAACCATGGGCATGCATCTACCGGAGCTGAGCAGGGCTGTTGAGGTCATGACACTATGGACATCACTCATTCATTAGGTCACCAGAAGTTGGAGTCAACTCAATGGCTTGAAACACAACACAGAGGGTTAGTGCCTGCATACAAGAAGTGTGCCTGTCTGAGACTTGGAGCCACATAGAGCCAGCTCAGTATGAAATCTAGGAAGACTGGAACGTTCTCTTTCTCTTGCTTCCCATTTTTCACTTTCACAAACACTAGGTGACTATCTGTAGGCAAGCAACTTGGTCTGCATTTAAGATAATTTCCTTGCTTTGCTTTTTTTTTAAATTAAAAAGTAAAATTATTATGTCAAAAAGAACCAGCATGGTACAGCACTTAAAAACTGCCAGTCAATATCCAGATGAGTATCCCAGGGATGCAGAAGAGTACCTGTCTCTTCTCTGGACCTCTGTCAGGACTGAGCAGTATACTTTTTACAAGTATTTGCCAATTTGAAAGGCAAGACCGTAACTCATTGTTGCTGGAATTGGCTTTCATATTGTGATCAGTGAGGGTGAAATTTTAGATCCCTTTCTCCTGTTGAAGGGTGAAAGATGAATCAGTTTCCCCTGAGTAGCCCACTGACTGCCCCACCTGATGTAGTGGCCAAAAATGTTCTTTCCCACTGACTTCTCATGCCTCCCTTACTCTTCTAGAAAGTATTATCTGAATTATTGACATCTTGATGATGACAGCTGCTTGGATTTTTGAAATAGGTTTTGAACGAGAGCTCTTTAAAGGCAGTTGCACTGTAGGGGCAGACCAATTTGTCTGCACTTTGGCAAACTGGGGTACAGACACCTGGGCCATCTTCACTGTTGGGGGCCAAGATGCAAGTTCTTGGTAGAGACTCTCTTGAGCAGTTCTAAGGACTGGAATGCCACACTGATGAGTCACTGCAGCTTGGACAATACCTTGCAGAACTGCTTTTGTCTGGCTCAAGTTCACCTTCTGGTCAGTGTCAGCTCTGGCATGAAAGACCCGATGGATGCTGAACTGAGCAAAGAAAAAATAAGCAAGTGACAAGATCTGTTCATTTCATAAGTACATACTGAGGGCCTACCATGGTGTTGATTATACAAAAATCTTTCAGACTAAGTCCCTGGCCTTGTAGGGCTCACAGTCCAGCGGGGAAATAGGCATGCAAATTGGTGACTGAGATACAGGGTGATAAGCTCTATAATGGATGCACATTAAGTTAGGAGGAGAGATGGAAAAAAGTTTGGCCAACCTCTCTAGTGAGATGAGGAAGGGTCAGGAAGAAAATGAAAAGAGAACATGATCTTGAAGCACCAGGAGAACCTGGTGGCGTTCATCAAGGAGACAAGAGGGGGAAGGCATCCCTGGTATGCAGAGGCAAGAAGCTCTGAAAGAGCATGGCATTTTGTGCAATGGTCGGGTGTAAAAGGTGGCAAAAGTGACAGTGGGACTTGAATGCTATCCTGAGGTGGTTTCCTTATTTTCAAAGATGCCGCTGATATAAAGCACGATCAGACATATTTTGGGGAAGAGACTCGGGATTGTCTGGAGGCTAGTGTGGAGGTGAGAGTATGAGGGCAGAAAGCAATTCTATTAATAACGTTAAAATTATAACCAGGCACGTGAATCCTTGGAATCATTTTCCCACTGTAGTGTTTGGAAAGGGATTAGCAATTGGATTAACAAGGAACATAGAGCACCCACAAGGATTTAAGAGGTGAATTCAGTGAAATGTGATGACTAAATGTGTATGTGAGTAACAAGATGAAGGGAGGGAGAGAGATGATCCCCCATTTCTGTGATGTACAACTGGGCAATTTGAGATCCAGAAGGTCCAGCAGGCGTGAGGTGTGGCCATTGAAGTAGGAGGGGCTGGTTGAGCATTTAGATAGAAATACTGACAAATAATTAGGAATATATGGTATTGGATGTATAATAATTGCCAATAATTTCTTCTGTTTCTTTTGGTATTTTAAGAATGTTGTAAAACTTTCAGTAATGCTACTTAGATATTTGTTGAGATGGGGCCAAGGAGAAAAACACGGACATGTTTGTTTCATGGGGCACAGTAGGTCAATTTCAACTAATTTTCTATTCATATTCTCATATTTATGTTTTCTCCTTCTAGGGGATGGCCAGGTGGATTTTGATGAGTTCATGACAATTCTTGGCCCCAAACTGGTGTCTTCAGAAGGCCGTGATGGTTTTCTTGGAAACACAATAGATAGCATATTCTGGCAGGTGAGTAAGAATTTTTTTTAAAGACTAAAACATGTATCTAGAACAAATTATTGACTCTGAGTTCTTGAGCTTCTGTACAGCACATGAAGATCTCTTCTAGGTTGGAGTGACAGATGTTCCTTTTTGCCTAAATTGAGGTCCGTACTAGGTCATCTGAACAAAGAATCAGAACTACACTCATTTAAGGCTTGGAGGAGTGTAATATCCTCCTATTCTTTCCTTTGATCAAGAGTTTACATTTTGAAGAAATGAGATTTTTGCCCTTCTGATTCACAAGTCTTCTTTCCTTGGGACACTTAAAAAGGACATATCAGTATTATTTTAGTCCATTTCTGGCTCTGGGTCCAGGAGGCCCTTGCTGAGAGGGCATCATGGCTATCTTATGTGTTGGGATGCTATCAATACTCTTGTCCTTAGTAGGACAGAATAGTTTTACCTAAGAATTTGTGTTCGGTGCTTCTCAATTTGCTCCTATTTCTGTCCTTTAAAATCTCTTAGGAAAATTCCCAAAATCTAACTTTGAATTAGTAATGTGCTATGAATCATTAATCTTATAATGTGGCTATTATTTCATGATTATGGAATTTGGAGGAAGGGTTATCAATGATTGTATTAAAAATTGGAGTCAAATAATTTGACAAGTTAAATTGACTTATTGGTGAGACATGTAAAACACCATTCAAACACAGCATGGTTTCTTTAATTTCTTGATGTGTTTTTTTCCTTAACCAAAGATATTTCTGTAACATAGATAAGAATTGCAGTTGACAGGTATCTTATGTCTGATTCTGTTACCCATCTTGCATATAACCAATAAGTAGTTACTAAGAACATATTTTGTGCCCCGTAGTCTAACAGTTACTGTGGATTTTACAAAAAATCTTTAAGACACAGTCCCAACTAAGAATTTGGTTGGGGAAGCACAATGAAGAAAGACAAAATAAAGAAATGATTAATTGGTGTTATGGTTACTAGATTGTAATCTCCTTGTAGCTGGGAACTTCATTGTGGTAGCACCCTTGGCAACTGGCACATTACACACAGCAGACTCTCAATAACATTTTTTTTTTAAATAGAAAGAACAGAAGTTCAAGAAAGGAGACATGTGGTCTTGAGGGGTCAGGTAAGGCTTCAGGAAATGGGGGCACTTGTTTCAAACCTTGAAATATGAGGGGGATGAAGTAAGCAAAGACAGAAAAGAGAGCATTCCAGGCCTGTCACGATGAGAGTTTGAAAAGGGTGAGGCTGTGAATGGAGGAAGGGCATTGACCATAACACAGGTGCTGCTTAAACGGAAAGACCTGAGGATCACGGGCAGAATGGCTTTAGGGCTTGAGGAAAGAGAAGAGTTGAGATGACTCCAAGGTTCCCAGCTGGCTTTTATTGACAGGAATAAGATCATGGAGAAAAGGAGTCTTTGTGGAATTCTAAATTGGACATGTTGAGCATAACATGAGGCTCAGATAACCAAAAGAAGAAGGAAAATCTGTGCACAGCTCAAGTCAGGGATGGATCACAGGCAAGAGACCAGGGCTGGAAACCCTGGGGTTCCTCAGAGCTGTTGGGTGAAATCAAAGGCAAGGATGGTCTCACCAGGGGAAGATGTATAGATGAAGGTGAGCAGAGAGACACGGCCTCTTCCTGGAGAATCCCTGGCAGGGGACCATGAGCTGAGGGCTCTGTCCTCCACTCTGCACAGACACATCTGGGGAACACTGTCTCCCCCCGCTGTGGTTGTGAGCAGCCCCAACTTTTCCTGGAGGACATCCATGACCCTACTTGCCACGTGATACAAATGTTTCACATTAATCCTTCAGGTATGACTCCATGTTTGGAAGGACAGACAGGTAGAGTACCCTGGCAGAAATAAAAAAAAAATAAATGTACGGTCAAGAGGGTAGAGAAACACCTCTTCCCACCTGGCCATCTTGCAGCCCATACAGATCCACTCTGAGTGGGCATTGGGAGTTCTCTCCCTGGTTTTCCCTTCTCTGCTCCCTTTTGTTCCCCACTCAAAGTGCTTTCTACCCTTTGGTGCTGTCTTCAAGTCCCATCCAGCCTAGGCGAACGCTGCCAGGTCTTCCAGGCTCTGAGCATTCTTCTTGGCCCCCAAAATGGAGGGAGAGGAGCTGCTGGCACTTACAGACTCACATCTTCCAGTTCTTCATAGTAGAACATCTATATGGTGAGGAAATGTTTCTCTTACAATAGATTGACTGCCTCTGCCATAATTTGGATAGGCTAATGTGCTCACAAAGCCTCTGTGTTTTTATCTTATCAAAGACCCTCTTCCTCACCCAGGGTGAAAGATGGGATGGGAAAATGAGAGGAAAGGGAGGACATTCCATTCTGAAATATTTAAATGAATATGGAAATGCAGACTTGTGGCTGTGGCTTTCCTCCCCTGCTCTTGCTCACTCAGCTCGGAATTTTATGACTAGCGAAGGAGAACAGACACATCAATCAATTCTCAGTAGTTGGCTGTCCCCCCTTATTCCCCCGCCATCTGTCCATTCAGAGACAGAGTGAAAAATGGTGCTTAAACATCTAGAGCATCTGGTTCTTCCCGGAAAAAAGTTCATATTTTCAGCGCTTGAGTGATTTTTCGGTTTAAAAGGAAATTGTGTGTGTGCACGTATGTCCATGCATATGTACATGTGCACGTTGGCTTTGCCACAGTAGTTGAAGTTGGTATAGAACAGGAGCAGCAGAAAGGCAGCCTGTTACACTGGGTATCCAGGCTGGACACAGTGATATCAGAGATACCAATATACTAGAAAGGAAAAGACCATCCATTTAAGATACTTTGACAAGGCTTCCCACCAGGGATGAAGTCAGCTTCCGGTGGAAATAGACTTGATGGTACACCTGGCAGGGTGCATTAATGATCTATTTGCTGCGTAATTCATTACACCAAAAGCTAGTGCCATAAAGCAACACTAAATATTCACTATCTCACACAGTTTCTGTGGGTCAGGAATTTGAAAGCAGCTCAGCTGGGTGGTTCTTGCTCAAGGTCTCTCATGAGGTTTCAAGTCAAGACGTTGGCTGGGGCTGTGATCTTCTGGAGGTTTGACGGGGGCTGGAGGGTATGCTTCAAGGTCCCTCATGTCCTGGCAAGGTGATGCTGGCTGTTGGCAGGAGACCTCGGGTTTTGGCCACATGGACGTCTCCGAAGTGCTGCTTGGGTGTCCTCATGGCATGACAGGCAGCCTTCCTCAAACCAACGGATCCAAGAGAGGACAAGAAAGAAGCAACAATGTTTTTATGACCTAACCATGGAAGTCAAACTCCATTATTTCTGCATTATCCTCTTGGTTACACAGGTCATCTCTATTCAGGGTAGGAGAGGACAAACTCTGGAGGGGTCACCGGGGCCCTGCTGGAGACTGACTAGCACAAAGGGTAAAGGCTCTGTAACTGGGCTTCAGTTTCTGATCTGACATTGCTGCCACAGGCTTCCATTTCTCCCAGGCTTTGCTTTCTTCCGCCTTTAAGAGAGACCTGTGACCAGGGCTGTTCTTGGTGCTTTGAGAACTGATCCTACCAGGCACTAGGCTCATCTTGCTAACAAATCTGTTTCCAGTGCTCCCTCCTTGCTGTCTTTCTAGCCTATGGTGCCAAGGTAAAGAAAATCAAATGGGATTCCGCAAAAACAGATATTTATCAGTTGGTGCTAATCCCAGAAGTTATGAGCCCCTAGCTTTTTTCAGGAAATTGGTATCGGTGAAGGCAGAATGTAGCTCGTTACTAATGCAGCCTCCCTCCTGAAGAGGATGGTCTGAGGGCCGTGCCCCAGAGTCTCCATCCTCCCACGGTGTTCAACCCTTGGGGTGTGAGGTTTGCATATTTCTCCACAGTCAGATCAGAACCTAAATGTCCTGAGCCTCCACTGGCCCATATGCAAACTGATGGCTATCATAGCTAGTGTACCCCAAAGCTGGGTGCAATGTCCAAGACACTGTAAGTTACCTTAACATAAAAGTGTGTGGGACATCTATCCACCCATCCTCAGATCTGGCCCAGATCAAGACCTGTTTGTCACACTGACTTCTCCAAAAACAGACTTGCTCAGCATCCTATCCAGCTCTCCATTCCTCCCTATCTGGTGGGATGACTCACACTGGTGTAGTACAATACCCAGAGTTGCTCCCCAGGCATTGCCCCAGGCTTGCCCTCTGCCCCTCTCTACCCATGCTCCTTGCTCTGGTCTCACATCTTCCCTGGCTTTCCATTTTTGCTCTGGTTCTCGACTCTTGCTTGCTGTCCCATGGGGACATGTGTGTGCTGGCCGGAGGTCCGTGGCTGAGTTGGGCAAGGAGCTGGACTTAAAACTCTTGACTCATGGGCAATTGAGAGCACTTGATGTTCCATGTTCATGATAATATGAGAGAAACACTACATGAAGCTACAGGCACAGTGTAATCCATGCCTAGTTTGCATAAAAGGACTGAAAGAAGTATAGCAGAACATCGACAGTGATTTTTCAAGTATGGTAGGATGATGAGTGATCCTATCTCTCTGTATTTTCCACAGTCTCGATGGGGGCATGTGTTAATTTCTATAATCAGAAAAAGAAACTTAAAAATAAAATGTGGTCCCTGGCTAGTCAGGTATGTAATTTTTTCATCTGTAAAACTGGATATTACCTGCCCCATGAAATTGACTGTTGATAAAGCTTGCAGGGAAAGAAAAGTTTTTTTTTAAAAAAAAGAAATCATGCTCATTCCTGTGAGGCATTTGTTGCATGAGACCAAGACATAGGAAACACCAGGACCTTTTTTTCCCTCACCCAAGGATATTGTTTCATTTCTTTTAGAGAGAGAACAGGGGTTGGGGGCGGGGAGAGGGGAACATAGATGTGAGAAACATCTATCTGTTGCCTCCTGCACATACCCCAACTGGAAGTCAAACCCAAAGCCTTGGTGTACAGGACGACGCTCCAACCAACCGAGCCACACCAGCCAGGGCGGGCCTTCACTTGTTTTTAGGATAATTTA